TTATTCCGATATCTCGTGTCTGTCTGGGAGTACAGTAGATCAGTGATTAAAACACTGTGCTCCAATACTCTAGATTCCAGGTTTAAAACAGTCTCTGACAGGTAATTATTTTTTCTGTTACATCATGGATTGATCCTAGGGTCAGGAGACCTTCATGTAGCACACCCAGCCATTAGCAAATGGATACCTTATTTAAAGAATAGAATTAAGGGGGAAATATGTTGGTAGAGTTTTATCTTGGTCAAATCATCTCTTTGAACAAACTTTGATAAGAAATAGTACTTGCTTACAAATTAATGAGCCTAAACTGCTTCAAATTAGTTATAGAAGTACAGATTTTTTTTTTTAAATTGTCTCTCTAAGTGTATTTCTTCTCTTTTTACTAACATCGTTCCAATCATGTTCCCCAGTAATATTAATCTTATTTTATTATGTTTTGGTTTCCAATATCTAAAATATATAATTTAAAATATACTTAAATCCCGCTATTTTTTATAAACTTTTGAATTTTTTCAGCTCTAAGGCTCTGCCAAAGCATTTGATTCTGACATTCTTCATTCACTTTATACTTTTTCACATGAAAATTTGTCCTTTTATTCATCTCTTACTAATCATGTTTACTAATAATACTAATCTTTCATTATTATTAATCATACAGAATTATTGAGATCAATATCCAACCTGAAAAAGTAAGAAAACTAACTTCTATCAAGTCCTCTCTATTTCAGGAGTCTTTACGTTTTTCTTCACTTTACAGAATTAAAAATAATATATATATGAATAATGAGTTAATGATGAATAATTTTTGATATACTCAAACACTATTAAAGCACTAAAATAGTTGAATAATAAAAATCATTTTATAAAATACATTAGATGCCAATAAGCTAAAAGATAACATACTTTTTTTTTAGCCTAGTACTCAAATATGTTATTGATAATCCAGTTCTTTATGGCATTATGAAATTAATTGCATTCAAATACTAATATAATCATTATTATAATAGTTGCACATTTTAAAGATCTAAATAAAAATTATATAAGTTTTTTTCATAATTTTATTTTTTAAGACTAATTAAATTACAATAAAATTAATATTAAAAATTCAGCTCATGCTCCTACAATTTAACTACAATGTGAATGGGTGAAACAGCATTTAAAAAAAAAATAAGTTGAAATTTGGTTTATATTTTTTTAAACTTATTTTTTCAACTATATATTTTTTAAGAACTTTATATTTATTTTGACTGATTTATGTGCTAATTTTAGAACTTTGCAGTGGAAAACAAAATAGCTTGAAGCCTCAATATTATTTGTATTTAGTGAGTTTTGGTGAAATTAAAACAAAATTTGAAAATTAAATTGAAATTGATGCAAGGTATGTAGTCTAATTTAAACTAGTGCCAAGCTGTAGCATGTGTTCGTTTGACAAGCGATTAGATAAATGTTCTTCTCACTACTTCCAACTGACCTCATCTTTATCCGAGCTCAACTGAAAATAGGCGAAAATTTTTTTTGACAAACTTTTTCTTTTATCCCGCAGCATAAATGAAGCTACGCCAGTTTCAACAATATGATATTCCCAAAATGTATGTTAAATGTTAAATACTTTCTACAATCTAGATAAACTATTGATAAAGTTTTCATGGGAGGTTCTTAATTATGTTATAGTGATGCAAATTACAACTATTATTTCTATATATATTTTATTTCAGACCAATGTTTCATGTACAAGTGCATCAGTCTAAAATAAGAAAAAATAATCATTTACTATTGAACTTCTTAATTATACTTAACTTGATTCAGTTGAAATGATCTTCACAGCTAACAAGTTCTATGTACACCATATAGTGAGAACATTTTTGTATACCAGCTTAAGTTTTATTAGTGTTTCTTCATTATTATGTATGATTGTAGGTAAGTTGTTATTAGTTTGAGGTCATTTAAATTTTAAGTAAAATGAGTGGAAACAAGTTCTTCACCATAATAAGTATAATCATTATTAGTAAAATTTCTTCTCCATATATTAATAAAACATAATTCAACTAGTATCTTACTCTGCAATCTTTTTCTTTGCAATTTCCATCGATAATTTATTTTTTGATCGAGTTTTATACCCATTCAAGATAAAAAAAAAAATTCCAGGAGTCATATAGATCATACTTATATTTCTTTTATTTGAAGTTTGAGACTCAATCTCAGCATTGCAAAATGGTGATTTTGAATAGATGGAAAATATATTAATTAGTACCATTATGATAAGTAATTTTTTTTTCACTATGTAAAGAGTGTATCCAATAAACTTCAAATTAAAATTTTTTAAAATCATATTGATAACAATTTTTTTGGCTGCATATTATAAGTTTCGATTATTCATAATGTATATGAAATTTAATTATGTGAAAAAAGTATCGATATTCTTTTTATATTCCCAAAACTGAAAATTTTTCAAATATATCAAGGTAGTATTCAGATGAATAATAAAACTAGGTAATAATGGAAACAAAATTAATGTTTGAATATCAGAAAAAGAATTATGAATAATCTGTTTTGTCAAAAGTGCTTCAGTGGATTTTTGTTTATTAAATTATTATGAGTAAAAATTTTTGCAAAGCGACTGTAGATCCAGCCAAGCTTATCTAGATTCACCTGTGGTCCGTCCTACGATATGCACTAAATTGTCATTTTTTACAAATATATTTGTGAATTTACAAATTAGTTTTACAAAATACTACACATAGTTGAAATTAACATAGCTCCATCATGCAAGTTACATACATAGCTTTTCTATTTGAAATAAAATTACCTCTTAAATATTATATCTTAAGAATTAAGCAAACTAAATATTTCACTTATTTAATTAAACCTGTTTTAAAGAATTTGATACTAAACATACAAGTCAAGTTTTACTTATAGAATTAGAAGAAAACTAAATAAAAATTATAACAAAAACTAAAATTTTAATAGTTTTGAAAAAATTATACCAACAAATAGCTTATGACAAAACTACACCAAATATAAAAAGTATCATAAATTACATAGTATTATTTTAAATTGAAAAATCAATAAGTATTTTAAAATCTAGGCTATATATACAACTTTATTTTTAATTATTGGTAGATTAATGTGTGGTTTAAATGAGAAAAAAAAAATCAATAAGAATTTTTTTCCATAATGCCTGACAGAAAAAATATATTATGTATATCAAATGCAATTTATATATATTAAATAAAAAGTCACATTTACAAATTTTGTAAATATGTTTACGATTAAAAAGAGCTCTTACTTTCCATTTAATATAATTGTTATAATTAAATAAGAAAAAAAAAAACATTTTATAATAATTATATTTTCCAAAGAAATGAAATTATCTGAATCTCTTTTTTAGCATACAATGAAATTTTTATTTTAAATTAAGTTTAATTTTGTCTTCTTCCGTGTAAACATGGCTACTTAACAAAAGTCATTAAGTGTGAAAGTAATTTTTTAAACAAAAAATCCTTAATAAAAGTTGTAAAATGTAGAATAAAAAATAAAGATATTAAGATACAATTATGGTATCAACAATTATCAAAAACATGATTCGGTTATTAAAAATTTTGGAAGATATTTGAAATGATTTAAATCCTTTAAGTTTGATAAATCGATGAAGTGATATTAAAATAATCTAAAAACTTGACTTTGCTATTCCTTAATTCTTAAAAATAACATTAATTGTTTTTAATATGACAAGGATAAAAAATTACGATTTTTTAAATATTGAAATCTATAAATGTCAATTTTTTTTTTTTTTCGAGGAACCTTCGTGTGATTCTTATACATAGTGGTTTAACTGTATTTAAAATTTTTATAAAATTATAGAAAAAAATCTAGTTATATTAAAATAATCAATATAAGCAAATTAATATTTATTTATATGCAAATTAATATAATTTCAATATGTGCATAATGTCTCAAGTTAGTTTTGGCAATTAATATAATAATAAATATTTTTTGAGTTATAAGGAATTAAAAAAAAAAATCTCATAACATCTTTTAAATTATAAAAGTTACTGGCACAGGTAACTGGTTTTCAGTAATGGATGAGATTATTATCTTTATCAATATTACATATTTATTTTTGTCAAACTACATTTTTCACTTCTGGAATAATTTTCTTTAAAATAAAATTTAGTATGCCAAATTATAATTCTAACTGATTTTTCTTTCTATCTTTTTCCTCTCCCTCTTCGGAAAGTATATTTTTTTATGAATTCATAAATGATAAATTTTCAAATTAGATTCGAAAGAAAAGTTAAATCAAATATTCATTGAAATATATTTGCATTTCAAGTTTTACCAATAAATTTAAATATATACAAGGATTGATACTAGTTTAATATGAAGCAAATATTTCTTTAAATAAGTCTTGCGATGTAACACTAACAACAATTTTTTTAAAAATTAAGTAAAAGATTGTTTTATTTCAAAAAAGTCCAATAAACAAAATCTAATTGCCAATAGTTTAAACCACTAGTTCTTAATTTGAGTTGCAAGAAAGCACTTTGAAAGGAAACTACCATTTAATTGCTTCTCCTGTGATAAACTAGTTAATGCTACGTTAGTGCTGGTCGCTAAACAAGAGTTAAGAACCACTGGTTTATTAGTCAATAAAAGAAATTTTAAAATAGTTTTAATTTATTAAACTATATGAAAAAATTTTAATGATAATTTTTTCTGTGTTCTAAGCAGAAACTAAATACTCTTTCTCCTAATTTTGAAATGCACAATGATTGACAAAATTCATTTACAAGATATTTAATAATAAACTAAAATTGAAAATTTGTGACAGTTTTTATACAGTGAATGTTTTTGTGGACTAAGGAACTACTGATAGTACTTTTTAATACTAAAAAAATATGTATGATATTAAATTAAAATTGAACTGACTAAAGGCTTAAATGAAGAAAATTGTTTTAACTTTTATTTTTACAAGTGTTAATATTTAAAATGAAAATTACCTCGTCGGTGTCGGATCCGAAGATGAGAAGGTCAAACGGAATAGCAGCCACTAGGTCAATAAGGAACCATCCCCTGAGGTAATGAACTGCAATCTTGCCTGGGTGTGATACGACTTCATCGTTCTTATTTACATATGTCGTTCTGAAGTTTATCAAGATGTCCACAATGAATGTTACATCCACTACGAGAAAACAAAATTCCTTCGTAAATAAATAATTGTGTCACATATCAGTTCTTGGGATTACTTTAGTAAAATAAAATTGAGAAGAGCAATAATTTAATATCAGTAGATTACTTAATGAATAAGTAATTATTACTGTTGACCACACCCTTTCCTCATGACTATTTTCTCTTTAAATTAAAACTAAAGACAATTATTTCTATACCATCATTATGAATTAGTAATTAGAGTAAACATTAGGTATAAATAGTTATATATCATTAAAATGTATATGTTTCATCTAAATCCCAAGGAAAAAAATACAAGAAGAATCAGATGTAATCTCTGGAGAACCTGTAGTTATTTTATAAATACCGACGGTTTAACATGAATTAGTTGATCTATAATAATTTAATACATGAATTTTGATAATCAAATCCCTCCTGGGATATACCCAGTCTCTACGAAGGAGGTATTCTTAATAAAATAATTAAATAAGTGGAAAAACCTGTTAGTTCATGATCTCTGTCAAATCATCTCTTTGAATGACTAAAAAACAGCACTTTCTTACTAAATAGGGTGAATGCATCAGTTATGGACAGGGGGCCCAGTGATGGACAGGTTGGACTTTAAATGTAAATAATAACTTTCCTTGTTGATTTAAAGGTTACAGTTTTTTATAGATTGAAGAATAATGCCTTCTATTGATAATTATATGAACAAAGTTTCCAAAAGAAAATTTTAAAATGCCTATCATTGTTGTTTCTATAGTGCTCTTGAGATCAGTGTGTTTCATACCTTTCTACTAACAATTTTGCTAAGAGTAAGTTGAATATTTATGTTATCTTATCTTTATAGTTAAATAAAAATTTAGAATTTTTCTCAAGTATGTCCATTACTGGTACCGATCCTCTGTCCGTTACTAGAATAATTGAATTGGATGTTCATCAATAGTGTAAACAAGATGTTTTTTAAAATGGAGATTATATCAGCATAACTGATTTTTTTTTTCAATTTTAAAGTGCTAAATAGAAAAAGGAGGCCTGAGAGATTCTAAATGTCCAACGGAGAAGTTTATAACTATAATAATTATGGCAGCATAAGCCAAAAAAGACAAAAAATTCCTTAGCAATGTTCATCATTGGGGCGCTTGCCCTACTGTATCCAAGTGTTTATTTTTTTATTTATTTTTTTTTTTACAAAAATGTTATAGCCCATTGTTGAGAAACCTTTTCATCATTAGAAGTCATAGTAAGGTTAGGCAGTGCTAATGGAGGCACATTAATTTGTTATATTTTACTGTTGTTATTATTTATTATTATTACTATTATTTTTCACTAAATACACACACGCATACAGATATTCAACTTAATTCTATTAATTTAAATTTTTTTAAAACTTAAATAATGAAATATTAATTAAACATAATGCTAGATTAATAAATACCGCACAAAAATGTATGGGCTGCAGCTACATCACGGAACCACAGGTTCTCCACCTATGCTCTAGCTTCTTATAAATAAAGCTTTATTTTGGCTGACTACTCAACCAAAACATGTGTTAATTATTCAAAACTGATATTCAAAGGATTGGTTTAATTAGAGATCACAGCCTCTCTTTCTTTTCGGTTGATCACACAAATTTTCATAAAAATATTAATCAATTTTATAAGTTTCTGTTGATAACTCAAGGTTTGAAATTTCTTACTTACCAATAAGATCAACGATAACTAATGGCTCATCGCTGTATTTTTCCGATTTCTTTTTCATGTAGTCTGCTTCGTTGAGAAGAAAAGCGGCGACGTACGGGGTGAAAATAGCGGTGTACATGACGAGGAGTAGGATGATCCAGTCCCAGGCAGCCTTGAACGGGCTGTAGTGGAGGACGGTCCATTTGTGTATCCGTGGAGACTGGAGCTTGTACTCTGGCAGAACATCGGCTCCCAGCGACAGTACCTAGAACATTATATACAATTTTTTATATTATATATAAAAATAAAAAATAGTTTTTTTTTTTGTATTTATCTTTATTTATTTATGTAGTTTATCCTTTAGGAGAAAAATATTTAGAGAAGAAAATATAGCCCTACCAAAGAAGGAAGTTATAAACATAAAAATCAAAGCAGAACTTACGGACTTATATGGGAGAATCTGATATAGTTTCTTGCATTAAAAAAAAAGGAGAATAAGATGGTTTCATCATGTATATCGAATAGAACAAAAAAGATTCCCAAAGCAAATAATGGAAAAACGTTCAAACAGAGAAAGAGGAAAGGCAAGTCTAGTCTACGATGAATGGAGAATGCAGAAGACCTAAGGTCACTGGATGTGACACACTGGAGAGAAGCGGCAGAGGATAGGTCTGAGTGAAGGAAAATTGTTGGGGAAGCCACAATCCTTCATGGGGTTAAGGAAGAAGATTCATCTTTTATTATATAAGAATAATTATATTCAATCTAAGCAATGATTATCAGTGGTATTCTCAAAATGAAAAACAGTAATTTATAAATAAATTATAAATAATTTTATAGTTCGATGTATACTGATATACAAGATATGACTCTGAAAGAGAACATTAAAAGATCTAGTCAGATGAAAGTATCTTTTACATATATTATTTTATAACTGGAAAAATTAAATACAATAACAAAATAAAATCATATGTTAACATAAAAAAATAAAAATTTGAAGACTTTTTTTTTCTGTTGCTTTTACACACCTTGTACATATTTGTTGCCTTAACGAGCCTTCTCCATCTTTGTCTATCATGAGTTATTTCTTTAAAGTTATCAGCATGTAGCACTATTACATATTTTTTTAATCGATCTGTCCGTCTGGATTTTGGCCTTTCAAAATCGTAATATTGAAGCATTCATTGTTGTATAGAAGCTTTCTGATGGTTTGAGCTACATGCCTCACCCATCTTAACCTCCTCACCTTCATATCAGGAGATATTGGTCAACTAGTTTTTGATTGTCAACTAGTTCTCTGACAAATCTTTCAATACTTTTTTTTATTTAGTTTCCAGATCTATGTAACAGCCATATGTTAGAACTGGCTTTATCATGGTAAACCATTAATTGGAAATTTCTAGAGATTTTTTGGGATTTGATTAACTTTAAAAGTGAGAAAAAAAGCTCTGTTTGTCCTTAATATACACTGGTCTATTTCCAATTATTATTAATTCATTAAAGTTTTTTTGGAGCTGAAGTAATAACATGTATCTACTCTCGAAAATGATTTTCTTTCTACAGAAATCAGGTTTTTGGACTGAAAATTTTAGCTTATTATCAAATATTTTGTTTCATTTCCATATTTATCATAAATATTAGTATAAAATACTAAACATCTTTATCATAAATTGAATATTAGGTTATAAATGGAAAAATCCACTAACAAATCCAATAGTCTCTAGAATGCAGACAAAACAAATTAATTCATCAATGTTTCGGCAATACAGGCATCAGTTCATTACAATTAGGACAGAAAACAACTTAAATCACAAATATATGGACAAAATTATAAAACAATAAAAGGGTTTACGGCAAATCTTGCAAATATCATTTTCTAAAAGAAATTCTTTATGAAAAGGGTACATGAGTTTTTATAAAACAATGTTTTCTATCAACTAAAGCTGAAAAAAGTTTCAAGATAACTAGAATAGACTAGATTATTTGAGTTGAATAAGATCTAGGAATGGGAGGTCCACAAATGCACTAGACGGAATCAACGTAGCACAAACTGAACAACTGCATTAATGAATAAAATTAGCATTAAACGTTGGATTAAGTTTATTCAGTCAACATTTACAAGGTAATGACAGTTAAGGTATTTTCAAGGCTCAAAAATAATGTAAAATAACTAAAAAATCAAATGAAATAGATATAAAAATTATAATTTTTCCAAAAAATGCCTTTGTGGATATATATAGATAAGGTTAAAAGTTTTAGATTATATCAAGTACATAAAATACTTCAGAAAAGATGTAATAATAATAATAAATTGGAATAATTAATAAACACTTTTAGAATTTAGGTTATAATAGGAAAAATTCCAAACAACAAATGTCTCCAAAATCCAGGCAAAGAAAAAAAACCGGTCATAATTTCGCCAAATGAGACATCTTCAAGACAGAAAACAATTACTAATTGGGCATCACTCCATGATATCCCATGGCTTACTGCTTAATCCAATCATATACAGTAAGCTTTGGATGTCATAGAGTGATCTTCCATTAACTGTTCTTTTCTGTCCTGATATTGCCTGAATTGTGCAAAACCTGAACGGTTTTTGTCTTTTCCTGCATTTTGGTGACACAAGGCTACATGGTTTGAAATTTCTCCAATTATAACCAAACATCCATGTTCAGTCTCTTGATTAGTTTGTTACAAATGTATATTAATACTTTTACAAGCATACATTGCCTTATTTATATGCCTTTTACAAGTATAAAATATCAAATAGAATTGAAAAGAAGTTATCTAATTTTTTTTAAATTTGATGAACATAAAGTTGAAACACACTTTATGTATATTTTTTGTTTGTTCTAAAATGAAGAGAAAAAAAAAATGGGAAAAAGATCTATTTTCTCCTTAAATCTCTCTCTTCAATGGTCTATTCTCTCTCATGGTCTATTATAATATCACACAACTATGGCCCCATGCTTCAATCATGGTCTAAATAGTCTATGTACATTAAGTATTTTCTTTTAAGAGTTGGCCATGTCCAGAAAAAAAAAAGATAATGATCTTGATGGATATAATTTTTATTAATTTATTTTTTAAATTCTTTCCTGACTATAACGATGCTAACAGTAGTGGGATATTTATGAATGACTGTGTAACTTCATTTTACTATAAGTACACTGTCCTTAAGTGATACAGTGGCATATATATAGTGAAGCATTGTTCTCATCTCTGGTCTTCTCCTTATTCTTTGGCTCCAGTTTTGAATTGGACATCCTGGCCTTTCAGCCATAGATGAAATGAAAAAGAAAACCACGGGAAGTTTTCTTTACTGACCAATCAGGAAACTCCTCCTCAGAGAAGATGTAATTCTTATCCGCCCCAATCAGTCGAATTCACTGCACGTCGTGATGATATGATAAATACTAAAGCATTTGGGGTCTATATCCTGGGGAAAGGCTATGTAGTTTGGCTTGGAATCCTGCATGTCATGTGAGGCATTATGAAACCCTATTGTCCAGGACAGAGGTGCCCATCCCCCCTCCCCAAGGTAAATGGCGCATGAACTTAGTCCCAAGATATTTATTGCTCTCATCTTCTTAAAACAGTGCAAGCTAAGGTATAATTTTAAAAATCATAGGTTATATAAATTACACTTTCATTGGTCTGCTCTATACTTTCTTCCTGTCTCCTGGTTTGAAACTTTTCATTTTGAAAATTTATAACCCCTTCGAAATGTGACCCCTCAAAAATTCAAAACTCCGTCAAAATGTGCACCCTTTAACTTTTGATGGCACTACCTGCAGCATCAAACCCTCTCTACTGGACACCCCAAGGGGACCCAATTCACGAATATCTGAGTTTATTTTCTGGAGAATTGTTTCCTTAGGGTAATTCCTTTTTGCCACCACTCATTGTTATCTACATTACTCAATCGTATCCTCTCAGTAACCAGTCAGTAGCTCTCGACTTTTTTTTTTTCTTCAGAGTCTAAATGTGTATCTGAATATGATCGATTCACGGGGCAATGATGTTTTTCTTATATGACACGAAAAACCGAAGTTTATTTATATCTTATGAAGGGAAAATTTCCAATTGGACAGAGATATTTCACGATAAAATAATCCCTTGGGAAGAGTCTTTTGAAAGACTTGCCCGAGCCTGGGATGAGGAAAAAACCTTGTCGTTTTGATTTCCCCTGGGACCGATTCTTCCTTCCAAGTCTTAAAGGAAGAAATCGGGAAAACCTAAATCTCGAAATAATAAAAATCGTGCATAAATTCTATAAAAGTTTGTTTGTATCGTTATTACTAAATCACAAAAATATTCAAAGTATATTTGCGTAAAACTAATTCGTGTATACTATACTTTGAGGATATCGGTAAATTATTATGCCGCATTATTCTCGACAGAATTAGAGAGACAGTTAATAGTAAATTAAGAAAGGAACAGAGTGGATTCAGATCAAGAAGATCGCGCATCGACCAAATTAACACCCTCAGGATTATAGTTGAACAATTTAATCTTATCTTTTTAGATATTGAAAAAGCTTTCGACAGTGTGTTACGAAAGAAAATATTTGAATTGCTATCCGCCTAAGCGGATGTACCGATTTTGATGAAATTTGGCTAAAGTCTCACACGATGACCTTTAAATTTATGTTTATCGCATCCTTCACCGTGACGTACTTTCCTTTCAAGATTATGATCGAATGACCTGTACCTTATAGACTGGTCATATATAACATCAACAAAAATGTACATAATTTTAAAAAGTAATACTAATTTTACTCCTCATAACTTTTTTTCGGCGAAATATGTTACACACACACACACACACACACACATATATATATATATATATATATATATATATATATATATATATATTTACTTTTTTGTTGATGTTATAAATGATCATTTAAAAGTTTACGAAATTTCTTCAAAAACAAATAAAAAATAATCGATCGTTGAAATCGAAAGATTTTGCTCAAAGAAATGTTTTTCTAAACATTTTCTGCACGTTCTACTGCAAAGGTAAAATCTTTTGTTTTGGTTATTGAGTTTTTGGAAAGTTATACATCAACGGAAACAATAAATATTCTGTTTTTCGGACTCAAGGGGTTCTGAAACGCAGAGATGCGTTGAAAACCACACATTAGAAATTTTACTCGAGACCAATACTTTCCATACCTATATAACAGTTTATATATAAGACAAAGATAGACTCTATTTGTATGGGGTTCTTCCCCCCCCCCAAAAAAAAATAAAAAAATAAACAAATATTAAATAAAA